ATCTTGAATGGTGTTGTAGCGGTTGGACACAATGATGATACAGACAGCGACAGTGAATCTTGGCACAGTTGTTACGCTTCAACGTTCACAAACGCCTGCCCTGAAGAAAAGACGGGAGAAGAACTCAGAAGAATGGAGAATAGACATGAATAGGTTAGCCACCTACAACCTACAACAACCTACAACGGGGGAGTGTACCTCATCCATCCTGATCCGTTCAGAAGCAACTCAACCTCGACGTATTGGAGTCGAGGTGTGGCAAGCGCAACCGGCATGGGCTAGGGCTCACCTGTTCAGAGAACATCGAGCGACAGGTCAGCCCTTTTCGGATGAAACATAATCATTAATTTGAATGTGTAGTCCTTGCATGTCCTTGCAGCAGTTTCCGTTGTGTGACTGTGACACACCCTTCAGCATTGACATGAGCCGACAGATGTTTCCTCGCTGCTTCTTTGAAACCAAGGATGGAAGGGATGGGCCGAAGAGGGCTGTGGCGTATAGGAAAGCGCAGTCGCCCACCATCCCTTCGAGTCAGAATCTCAAGTTTGTGCTAATCTGCAGAGCAGAAAGGATCAATTCGCGTGTTGATGAATCTTTAGGGTTTTGCATGTTTTTGCTTTGAAGGTTGAGCACCTTATGCGGCTTTCATCAGTGTTTTTTGAGTTCCTTCTTGCCGACAGGTGCGAACAAGACCCCAAGCTCCTCGAAACCGAACGAGAGCGGAAACAGCAATGTCGACTTGCTCGATCTGTGATTTTCTCCGGTGCCACATTTCCGTGCATAACACTCGCGGAATTTTCAAAGTGGAGCCAGAGTGGCACATACGTCGATTGGTGGGTTGATATTGAGGGTCGAGTTTTCAGGAATGCAAGCATGGTTTCCCAATGACTTTCTATTGCAAATGGTCCGCTACTGATCAACCCTTCTTGGTCTCACACTGCATCTTTTGCACAATGAACCAGCTCAGCTCACTGCTGAGTGATACGGAAAATGCTCGACGAGGAAAACATGTGCCGTGCATGCTGCTTGTGTAGATGATCTGAATCTTTCAGGTCTCACCTTGCCCAATATATATATATATATGTGTGTGTGTGTGACCCCCTCGGAATCACAAAACATCCATTGATTTTGCTTTGTAGTAAGGCTCTTTCCAAGTTACAGGGGAGTGCGGCATGATTGTGGGACCGCACTCTACCTGCTGCTTTACCTGAACAATTCCTCCTTGGTCCCGTTGTATCTAGAACAAGCTGACCAGCCGTCGCATCCATTCCATTCCTGCAGTCACGCACTTTACCTTTGAGCGTTGGACCTGTGGTGTTTCAACTTTGGTGCTTTGGGGTTTTGATGTCGCTAAGATGGTCTGACCGCATTACATACCTTTTCCTGGAATTCTTAGGCACTCACACCTAGGTGGGCGTGTGGCATGTGGCATTCAGTTCAGTATGCAGTATCTCGAGTGTGTCTGGCCTTTGTGCCAGCCCAGGGTGAGCCCGACGAGTGCGGAGAACAGAGTAGCTCACAGCGAGAGGCTTATGCCATAGTTTCGCCAAGACGTGATGAAAGATTGAATTGAGTAGGCAGCTTTCGAGACGCCAGAACGTGTCCATAGGGGACTCAAGCTGCCCGCCATTTTGGCATGGCACTAGGTGACCAGTGCGGTCAAAGCTTTTGAAGGTCGATTGGGATTTGTTGGGGCCTTAGTTTATACGCAAAAACTGTTTGCCTCCCCTTGTGGGAGGCGTGTGTGTGACCCCCTTGGAATCACAAAAAATCCGTTGATTTTGCTTTGCAGACTCTTTCCAAGTTGCAGGGGAGTGCGGCATGATTGTGGGACCGCACTGAACGAATCTACCACATTCATGGGATACCGAGTCTGATCAACTCGGCGTACCTGCTGCTTTACCTGAACAATTCCTCCTTGGTCCCGTTGTATCTAGAACAAGCTGACCAGCCGTCGCATCCATTCCATCCCTGCAGTCACGCACTTTACCTTTGAGCGTTGGACCTGTGGTGTTTCAACTTTGGTGCTTTGGGGTTTTGATGTCGCTAAGATGGTCTGACGGCACTCACACCTAGGTGGGCGTGTGGCATGTGGCATTCAGTTCAGTATGCAGTATCTCGAGTGTGTCTGGCCTTTGTGCCAGCCCAGGGTGAGCCCGACGAGTGCGGAGAACAGAGTAGCTCACAGCGAGAGGCTTATGCCATAGTTTCGCCAAGACGTGATGAAAGATTGATTTAAGGGCTTACGCCCGACAGCCGGCCAGGGGCCCAAGCAAAGGGGATGTTGTTGTTGTTGTTGTTGTTGCTTTGTTGGCCCAGCTTGGGTCGATGTTGGCCTATCTTAGGGGCTATCTGGGCATCTTGGGAGCTATGCTAGCTCATCTTATCGCTATGTTGGGGCTATGTTGGCCCATCTTGGGGGCTATGTAGGCCCATCTTGGCGCTATCTTGGCCCATCTTGGGGCCATATTGGCCCATCTTGGGGGCTATGTTGGCACATGTTGGGGCTATGTGGCCCATGTTAGCCCAGCATCCGCCCACGATGCAGACGAAGCACCCCGGTGCGGCACGCATTTCCAGCATTATTTGGGCCTATGTTGGGCCATGTTGACCCATCTTGCGCCGCAAGAGACGAAAAATGGGACAAGCCAAAACACTGTAAAACGCGGTAGCTTCGGTAGGTCGGGGCCCCTGGCCGGAATGAATTGAGTAGGCAGCTTTCGAGACGCCAGAACGTGTCCATAGGGGACTCAAGCTGCCCGCCATTTTGGCATGGCACTAGGTGACCAGAGCGGCCAAAGCTTTTGAAGGTCGATTGGGATTTGTTACGAAAGCCAGCCTTCGTAGAAGGAGCTAGCTGAGTTGTGTTTGGCGAACGAAGTGAGTAGTTAGGGGGTCTGGGGGGGTGGCCCGCAAAAGGTACACGTAAACTCGGCACATGCTGGGGGAGGAGGGTGCATCGAGGGAAGGTTTTTTGAGGTTGTGTTGGAGGTGATTTTTGAGGGGTGGTGATGCAAGAAATGCAATTTGCATCATTTGCATCATCTGAATGGAAAGGTGTAGTTGGCACCTTGCCAGGTATAGATACCCAGGGTAGCTATAGTGCAGCTACCAGGTATAGTACTTCAAGTTCCCTTTCCGTCAACCGCTCGATAACCTCTACACACGCACAGTAATCCACTGCTTTGAAGCACAGCAATCCACAGCTTTGAAGGAATAGAATTGTAGCTACCCTGGGTCCGTATAAATGCTATGTTGCTATACCTCTTACACACCTATACAAGTTCAAAGCACGAATGAGACTTCAAAGCTGTGGTTTGCTGTGCATGTGTGGCTCGAGAAAGATATACGTAAATTCTGGGAGGTGATGCTTCGATGCTTTTGGAGCGGGTGGTGACGCACTCGCCAACTAGAACAGAAACCCTTCAATAGGAACTCGAACAGCTCAAATCCAGAAGATTCTGAAAATGGCCTGGCGCCCTATATGAACCCTGGGAAGACTGGGAAGCGAAGAGGTGGAAACAGCTGGGAGGTCTTGAACTTTTAAGTAAACAAAAGGCCACATTCAAGCAACAGAAGGACAATGTGCATCCTTTGCTCTCGCTTCGCAGACCTTCATTTTTAAGGTGGCCTGAACAGAGTGTTTTAGGGCAGCAAACCCTGGTCTCAGGCCACCTTGAATTTAGCTTGAGAAACTGTCTGTTTTAACAAAAGCCTTGTCACAGAGACACCTCGGGACCCTTGCTTCGCATATCTTCATTTTTGAGGTAGCCTGAACATATAGTTTCGGGCAGCGAGCCTCTGGTCCCAGGCCACCTCGAATTTTGCTCTAAAACTTTCTACTTGAACGAATGCACTTCCAATCATATGACAACTAATTGTATGTTCAACCAGGTGCAAGGTCAATGTGCATTTTTTGGCTTTTTGCTTCATCTGAATGTGGATGGGAATTATCTATGTGTGAACAGAATGTTTTTTCAATCGAAATTCAAGGTGGCCTGAGGCCAGGCGTTTGCTGCCCTAAAACCATTGTTCAGGCCACCTCAAAAATGGAAGCGCTGGCTTTCGTTTTGCAGCTTCTCAGGTTGGAGCCTTAGTTTATATGCAAAAACTGTTTGCCTCCCCTTGTGGGAGGCGTGTGTGTGACCCCCTTGGAATCACAAAAAATCCATTGATTTTGCTTTGCAGGCTTTTTCCAAGTTGCAGGGGAGCGCGGCATGATTGTGGGGCCGCACTGAACGAATCTACCACACTCATCGGATACCGAGTCTGATCAACTCGGCGTACCTGCTGCTTTACCTGAACAATTCCTCCTTGGTCCCGTTGTAGCTAGAAGAAGCTGACCAGCCGTCGCATCCGTTCCATCACTGCAGTCACGCACTTTACCTTTGAGTGTTGGACCTGTGGTGTTTCAACTTTGGTGCTTTGGGATTTTGATGTCGCTAAGATGGTCTGACCGCATTACATACCTTTTCCTGGAACTCTTAGGCGTTCATACATAGGTGGGCGTGTGGGATGTGGCACTTGATTCAGTGCGCAATATATCGAGTGTGTGTGTGCTGGTGTTGTTGTCGGCTCAAGATGATGCTGTTCTGGCAAACATGAGTGTGATATGTTCTTCTTGAAATGGGTGATGACGTGAACGTAGGAACATCGAAAAGGCCTGAACCAATTCCGCTTAAAAATACCCCGGACTAAGGCTTTGGGCAAGACCTAGTTTTACTGAAACGCCTTACCAAGACTTGAACATGTTTCCCCGCTGCTGCGCAACATTTGTTGTTTTACTATGTTTTATGTGCGTTTGGCTCACAAGTTGAAGAGGCGCCAAAGCTGCGTCTGTGCATGTGCCCTCATTTGTGGTCTGTCAAAAGAACTTATTTGTCACATCTCAGGAGGAACATTCTGTAAAGTAGTCACGCGCCAGCTAACACCGTGCAATCAAAAGTAAGACTCTTTCCCCCAAAATGCTGGCACTCTTGCGCTGCGGGTCATGACCACAAATGGTACAGGAGGGGTCGGCGCACTGAGGGTGCAATCATTTGGTGTTGATGACGACAGCAGCAATCAGCTAGGTTGAGTATCTTTAGTTCCTGTGTGCTGCCGAAAGGTCGAATTATCGTTTGTCTCCAGATGTTGCAAAATAGACGAATTGGCAAGGCATATCGTCCATTACAGAGTTGCAGAGATGCATCTAGATGCTATGAGTATAGGATTGCTACAAAAAACAATATATATATAGCCCTCCAGCACCGAAGTTTCTTTTCCATTTTTTTCGCAAGGTTTTCCGGCGTGTTTTTTCGCTGCAGAATTGCAAACTTGGTACAGTCCAATCCATGCTTTTGCAGTGCAGCCAACTCGCGCGCAGATACTATAGTAGGGAACCAAAGTGTTGAGGCTGTTATTGGATGTTATTGGTGTGTTTTGGTGGCCTTACTTTGGAATCACGTACTGTAATGCTGCATCCGTGATATGTTATTTTTTAAACTGTAGTGTCGGAAACCCATGACATCCATGCGAAGTAGCCGATAGGCTGAGACTCACACGCCGGGACACCGATCAGCTATGTGCCTATGGGAATCGATGCCCCACAGGTCAGTCCAGCCCAGTATATAAACGCTACGACCTGCACGCCATGAGCGCAGGCCACTCCTCAGCTTTTGTCAGCGCATGCAAATGGCATGGCAACATGCAACGTAATCGTGGACCAGCCATGCTATCCCAGAAAAACACTTTGCCATGTGCAAGGAAGGGGCCCAGTTATGTCGCCGCAAAAACATTGAACGTTTGGTTTCGCCGTGGTGGGCCCGCATCGTGTGGATCAGACTCTAACATGTTGCCGCTGTGTTGCCTGACGCAGCCTGCGACTTGTCAGAAGGAATCAGCGTTCCAGATCCCATGGGCAGCTTCATAGACCCAAAAGTGGGACTCAAAATCTGGCAGGGTGGTAGCTTTCGGAAGAAGGGGCGGCCCCCAGAAACTGGACCCAGCTTTGGTGCCAAAAGTTTGACTACAGAGTCAGTTGTCCGTGAGTGCTGGCTGCTGGCATAAAACTTTGCAACGCACTGCTTGGAAAAAGGTTGTTTGATTTCCACATCACTATATAGCACTTTCCTTTCTCTCACCCTCCACCTTCGGATACTGTACTTATATATAGACATGTGGAGATAGTCGTCTAAATCTGTAGGCTATCATTTGACAAAGAGCTAGATAGCGTGCGAAGTGGTCAATCTGCTGCATTTTGGTCCGGAAACTACCTCGTCCAACTGTTGTCAATCAGACTCCGTGCGACTGAGAGGAGTTCCGCAACAGTTCAGCTTGCTGTCCGAGTTCTTCAAAGCAGGCGGCTCTGCCGAGTTTATATAAGCTAGCCTCACAATAAGCCGCCAGCGGTCCGCTCAAATGTTGTTGGTGCAATGTTGGTTTGTTTCTCGACGCAGGAGGGCAAATGAATCAGAGGAAGGTTCTCAAACCGGAGTGAACGTTTGTTGGTTTGGAACAAAACTATGAGCCGGTACTTGCAAGTTCTTGCAGATGTCAGCTTCAAATTCCATTGACCATGCCGGTAACCAGCTCTGCAAACTAACCAGCAGGAACCAAGCACACACACATGTATGTACAACCACAGTTTGTCTGATCGAATGGAAAGGATAGGCAGAATGCGTAGCTACTGCGTGCTAAGAAAAAAGGAACACCTGCTTTACTTTTGCAAGCAAACATGCAATGGCGGAGTGGAATGTCTCTGCGGGGGCCTTATCACGAAAGCTAGCATCAGCTAGCTGGAGTTGCTCTTGCTTTAGCAAGTCAAGGGCTCGCAGCCTCGAGAATCATGAATCACGTGAAAACTTCACGTGTAGGGGGGGCCCCCCCCCCCCCCCCCCCCCCGCGGGTTCAACTCCCCCCTGGGACGCTTCCGGTACGTGCTATAGTGCTATGTTTAGGTGGCAGGTGAAGTAGGCCACTGTTTGAGTTTGGAAGGGGGGGCATGAAACATGAAATTTACGCGAGGGTTCAAGGCTTCAATGATGAGCATCACGGGAAGTCAGAAACCAGGCATATCAGATACACATGCCTTTGAGCTTCCTTCGGCATCTCAGTGCATATGGCTGACACTTCACTCGACAAAGATGCTCAAACAAACATACATAAACCAGGTGTATCTGATACGCCTGGTTTGTGACTTCCCGTGATGCTCATGATGCTGCGTTGCTTTTCTTCAGTCCCTCATTACATATACATGACGATCCAACAGCAGATTCAACAAGCTCACATGTTCATGACATCGACATCGATAGAAGAAACCAAACAAATCATGCAAGCAGCTTTGTTTTGCCTCTGGGACACCTCTTGGGCACCTCTTATGGCATCCACACTGGTTCAACTCCTCCGTGGAGGTTTTGGGATACGG